TTCAAATATCTACAGATGTGCGGAAACCAGGAGGAGAAATAGTTCCCAGCCAATGCATGGACTGTGTACCCACTCTATTATACTTGTTAGGTGTTTCTCTAACGGAGCACAATTCTTGCGTTTTGCAGAGACATGCACGCGGGGGAACAATGCTTGTTTTGGCTTGTTCGCTGAGCTGGGCAATTTGGTTGCAAACGTTTCATCACCAATCGAGGTGACATCATCAGTGCGTAGTTGTGCATAGCGGGGGGTGGTTGGTTGTGCTACGCACAACTACGCACTGATGATGTCACCTCGATTGGTGATGAAACGTTTGCAACCAAATTGCCCAGCTCAACAAGCCAAACCAGCTCAGCGAACAAGCCAAAACAAGCATTGTTCCCCCGCGTGCATGTCTCTGCAAAACGCAAGAATTGTGCTCCGTTAGAGAAACACCTAACAAGTATAATAGAGTGAGTACATTGTCCATGCATTGGCTGGTAACTATTCATCCTCCTGGTTTCAGCAAATCTGTAGATATTGGAATAGATATTCCCCTTCAGCTGAGTCTTTACCTTGGGACAAAAGTGGATCAATAAACGACCCAGGATTATTTTCGAGAAATACACTCATTTGCAAATCAATTTGGTTTTCACGGGAGACTCAATTGAACCTCTCGTTTATGATGTCCTCAAACTGAATGTGCTGCACCCAGAATTATCATAGTCTGATGAGTGTTCGGGTTTTTTGATGCGGTTAGCGGGTAAGATTGCAGCAATCCTATCTTATGCAGCGAGCTGGTGGCTGAAAGCGCTGTGAATGAGGACATGACGATGATCAAGCGTGCAAACACTTCTAATGGTTGAATCAAACGGAGCGCCGGAAGCACCTAGTTCCGCCAGATCCTCATGTGACCCGGAAGTTACCAAAACATGTTACCGACTCCAGCTAGATCCCAAAGGAAGCTTTTTCCATTAGGTAAAACTAGTGGATAAAATCGTTGATGCCAGGCATCAAGGCCTTTCGACTGACTAATCTCAAAGCTCGTCTTGACAATCCTCACATAAAATGGCAAAATAATCAGAAATGTAAAACCGTCAAAATAGATTAAAATAATTTACGTTGCACTGCAACTTTAACATCGATTAAAACAACCCAAAAGGTCCCCTGGTTATTTTCAACACATTGTAGAGTCCGTCACACGTTGCATCTTGAAAAACCGCAGAGAGCTGTATGTGAAAAAATTTATTAGGATCCAACCCGTTTTTACAGATTTATCGCACACAACCTTGGACCACTGTTCACAGATCGCTGTTTTTAGAGAAAATCTTTTTCACATGTCGCACCCGTAACTGTTGGATAGCTGGAATTGAGCCTCCATAGCTTTTATATTTCGTTTCGACCAAATGAGTTTCTGGGTTGACAAAAACCCGAGGAATGCGCCTACCTGATCAGCCCTGAGAAGGGCGAGCAGATCGTAGACTGTGAAAGAAATTTCAGCAATCATGTGGTTAGTTTCATCCGACCAAATGCACATCGCACCTACTCAATGTGTAACAGACTGGCACCTGACTGTTGCTAAACAAATAGTGCTATGTCAGGCGTTGTAGGTGAGATTTACCTTATGTGAACAAAATAGGATCAGGTTTCTGAGAGTGCAAGGTCGTTTGGGCAGATTCGAACGAGAAAGCCATGTGGAATCAAGCGTTATCCGCTTATAGGATACACTTATTCCGCGGAGAAAGCATGTAAACTTTTAGCTCCTCGCAACCGCAGTGGCGCCAGGGGTGATATTGCGATATTTTATCCTGACCTTGACGTGACTCGCCAATAGTCCGTCCGTTGCACGCAGTATAGCTTCCAAATTTTTAGTTTTCTCTATTTGGAAATCGTAGTTTATTGAACACGTACACCGTTGGGTTTAGATTTGCACTCTCTTGTCGGCCACGTTGTACTCTCGGGGATGAAGAGGTTGGATTGCACTCAGGCCATTCCACATGATGTTCTGAGGAAAAATGACGCGTGCTATTAACTACTCCTGCATTCGATTTTATTGGGACAGTAAAGCAGAATCACAAAGTCTATGTCAGCCTCCTATTTTCTCGCAACCCGGTGAGACCCTAAGATTCTTTGGTGACAACCAGTTATGAGCATGTCACTGGATCGACCGAATCAGCTAACGAGTTCGCTGTTCGGATATTGAAATCTAGAGATGAATTCAAGACATTTGTCGTAACATTTGGCTTCGATTTGGTAATCCTCTGATGGAACATGGGAATACGCTTGTTAATTGGATAATTGTTCAAATATTCTCAATGGACACGGAGCTTTTTTTAACCAGCTATTTTCTCGGACAATTAAGCTTGCCATACCAGGTCACAGTTTAGTGAATCATACTCACAAACCGATAGGTCACACAGTACTATGTTATTGTTATTCCACCTGCTGAGTAACGACTAGCATGGTATGGCTTAAGTGAACAGGATGCGCTAACAGCCGACCTAAAATGCTGGCATACTTTTTCATAAAGGCAACTACTTCTAAGTTGCTGAAAAATCTTCGACAGTCCACGACCGGTTTCGCCCGTCCACTTTGGGCTCATCAGGTAGGCACAGTCCCCGAGTTTCCGTCAACCTTATGTTCTACTCGAACCCAAATTGGACTGTTTTCGAGAAATACACTCATTTGCAAATCAATTTGGTTTTAACGAGAGACTCAACTGAATCTCTCGTTTATTATATTCTACAACTGAATGTGCTGCACACAGGCCGCCTCATGTTTCAGTTGGCACGATATTCGAGATATTGCGGTATATTTTCATAAAGGAGTATTTTCCTTTGTTTGGGTGTTCGGGAGTGGGTTTGTTGGACAGCGATGTACTACTGTATGGCATGAGGCTCGGGTGTTTTTGCACTCAAGACAGACTGTACAAATAGTACACCTGCTTTAAAACGGATTTTCTATCAACTGCGATCATTTGGATTCACAACGTGTACGCCATTCGGTCTACTGTACTATAATCGGTGCCTGTTGTCGTTACAGTAGCACTGCGGGGGTGGGATTGGCGATCAACCACAAAGTACACATGACTGGACCTTGCCAGCGAACACACGCCTACATCCTCTCTTTCGACCAAGCTGTCCAATCACCATTTTCAATGGCGTTATTGTTTTCTCCGCGATTTTTTTTTTGAACTTTGATCGTGAGAATGACCTCTGATCAGATCTAAGCTGACGGTGCATGCTTCTTACCTGCAACCGGTGCTCCACCTACACATGAACACGTGTAGCATGGGACCTGCGCTTGCGAGAGCAATTACATGTGTCTATGTCCACCATCGGTTGCCCGAAATTCGGTCATCAGTGGATCATAAGTTGCATAAATCTTACACTAGTTCTTGGAGCTGACAAGAGTAGCAGCTTCGTCGATTTTTTTCACCAGACATACGAACTCTTGTCCAGCTCGGAGAGGGAGTGCAACGGTGCTGATGTTCACTAAGTTGAGTTCAAACGGCGTGAGTTTTGTTATGATGTCTCGTAAAATGGACAAGGGTTTGTTACACGGGGTCTTTCTGAAAATGTTTTGCAAAGTTTCCAATGGCGCTCATTCCGGTTATCCATTCGTCAGCTTGGTCAGAATGACATGAAAGGAGACCACATAGAGTAAGGAAATCAATTATCAAGTAGAAGAGTGTCAACAGTGAAATGCAGCCGCAAGTCAGATCTACCGATTGTTTGCCACATCTTTTTGAGATCAGTTATTAGTTTCAAGCCAAATTCTTGCGGCCAAGTGTGGCTATCTTGAACCTGTTCACTACTAACTAACTCGATTGCGCAATAGCGTGGCAGAGATTACGCGGCATTTTCGAACTCTTCCGTCACAAATTTATCGGTCCTCTAGGGATATGTCATCCAGTTAACTTATATTATCTGATCCTAACTGAGCCTGGGTGCTTTGAAATAACTCACCAGGACGTGCAGACTGTACTTACCTATGACCGTATGCAAATAATCAGGCCAAAAATTTCAGTTCAGGTTAAACTGACTGATTTGATTTGCTCATCTGGTGGCTAAAAGGATGGTTCGTTGACTGAAGCCCCCTTGATTCATAACTATGCCTGTTTTAATTCAACTGTTCATAATTATGCTAGCGGTGAAGTCACAACCCAGTGTGTCTGAAATCCTTGAGAAACAATATTCTCAGTGTGTAAAACATTGTGTACTTTCTGCTCAGCTGCTGGTTAGTTAAGGACGTTCTTGTGGCCATCATGAGTTTGCTAGTGAACACACTTCTGGTAGTTGGCCTCACTCGTCCCTCACTTTGCCGCGATGGGACTTAGGAGTACGTAAGCTCAATCGCCTGGCTTCCACAACCTCAACGATGAAGACATGCGAGTATCGGTGAGGTGTGCCTAAAAGTATTTGCCAAGATGTTTATCAACTTGAACGACTGGGAGAAAAAAAGAACGTTGTAACTGGGACTGCAAAAAGGCTTGAACTGCAAGAGAAAGGGCTTGACAGAACACAAGTAACCGGCTCGTGTGTGGTAGGAGTACAAACTGCGCTCAGTAGGTTTGAACAGAGGAGTAAGACACAGAAGGCCTTTGGCTGGCCTGCGAGAAAATTCGCTCTTGAGCAATTAAGAAACTTCTAACAGCTAAATAGCTATCTGTTATATCTGCTGGTTCGCCAAGCTGAGGTATCTGCTGCTGACACGCTCCAGTGCCTAGTGTCGGAGAGAAAAGACTCACGGAAGTGAACACAACAGCTATATTCCAACAAAGCGGGTGCGAGTGCGAATGTACAACGGTCTCAAGCCACTTATTAGAGGGACACTGTCTGAACTCGGTTCAATGCTGACGCACACGGTCTGGCTGCGACGTGCTGCATATTGCGGGGGCGTTGTCTGACCTTGATCAACGCTGACTCGCGCTGTCTGGGTTTGATACAAGGCTGTGACGCGCTGCATATTGAGGGGGCGTTGTCTGTCTGGTCAACATCTAGCGGAGCTAAGAGTGTCGGTAGATTTCGGGCATTCAATGGTTGCTTTCAGGAAGCTGACCTTCCTGATACTATCCTATTCATGGGATCACACTAACGATTTCGTAGAAGGATTATACAGGAATTTTGCTACAGTGGCTGCTACCACGTTTTGTAGACATTACTGATTTCCAAATGTCCTTCAGTGTAATCATTTCTGTACTTTTCTTATATCAAAAGCACTTTAACCAGAGTATCTATTACCGATGTCTAGAAATAATTAAGGAAGATGACTATCTTACCTGAAAACACGAGAGAAATGCTAGGATCCCGATAGAATTAACTTACATAACGTTCTACTTCTTGCATAATTTTGCGCGTTTACCTCCAAGTTTTCAAAGCAAGGTATCATTCGTATTTAACAACAGCTGACCAGTTAACTCTCTCATGCATAGTTTGTCTATCGTACGGTTCTCGTGTTGCTGAGGCCTTGCCATGTGAACAACTTTTGGCGCGACTTAAATGTGCATTCTCCATGAAACATTCCGGTAACTGAAAAGTAAACTTGGCGCGAAATGTTCAAACGCATGTTACTCGGTAGAATCTTTCAAGGACTAACCACCTATCATCTGCCTTGGCAAAAAGGAATGGCTCTCTTGGTCTTGCTGAGGTATATAAGATATGTGCGGTTGATATTCACTGGCCAAGTCAGCTGTTAGATACCAAAACCGATCGATGCGACCGGACTCCGTATGCTATCAGTGACGCTTTGCAGAATCTTTGAAAGTTGCCTATTAGATGTCTTGCATCGCCTAATGGCGGTAACAACCCTAGTTGTGATAAGGGTGAGAATTTCACAACTCTAACATCTTTCTGGTGCCTACCTACCTTGTCATCAGAAGGGAACACGAGGACTGAGATACTGCAAGGTTACTCAAGCCCTGATATGCGTAGTCGAGATGCAGAGGTTGGGTTCGGACCATAGTTAGTAAGTTCATTCTTTAAATACTTAGCCATATCACGTTCTCATCCTAAATGATTAGTAGAATGGTGCATCAACTCCAATTCGGCCAAAACGAGGGAGGAATGAACAGTTCTACTCACCACCTCTTCAAAAATTGCAGTAAGTAACACTGTAATACCTCATATGCCTTGGTTTCCAGTCATTAACAGTTGCAAACCACTAGGCCGGAGATCCATAGAACTCGCCCGTTTTGCTTGGCTGCGAAGTGGTTTTAAGATAGCACATATGGGTGTGGGGAAGTTACTGGTTATCATTTCCCTGGTCCGCTGACTCGAATGTCTTACTGTCCAAATGCCAAAAGAATTTTAGCGGATGCATCTAAATGATGACTACACAAGTAAAAGGGGACCGAATAACTTATTTCAGTGTGATTGCACGATGGGCGCGCTCACGTTGAGGAAATGGGTGACAGCATCAGACTTTTGAAAGATTCACTTATTTCTGACAAAGTCTGAGAGTGTGGCACCCCATGAACCATTAAATCCAACGTCCAGTCAGCTAGGTTCTCAGACGAAGTATCAAAGACCCCAAAATAAAACACAACATGGTCATGTGCTGCTCATTTCTGAAACAGCTAAACCATGCTGAACAAACCAAAACAAGCCTCTGTTAATCAGGTACTATGTTCCTTTTCCGAATCATACAAAAAAACAGACGATAGTGGACCACATCAAGCTAAACCCTCAAAATTACTTGTCGAAACATTCTACGAACAATCAGGACAAAATGTGAACAAAAAATGAACTGAAAACACGAAACTCGGGACCCCTGAAAAAATCAGGTTGAAGGGTATAGGACACATTTGTACTGAGTTGTGAAACAACCTGAGGATATCGTGTTCGGGGCGGTGTTACAATTGTAGCGACCCAGTCACTCACATACTTGACTGTCAACACAAAGGTCGCTCACTGGATCGCGAGGCTTGTCTTTTTTCTCATACGCACAAACACGTCGCATTAAGCTGACGCATCGGACATCGATTGTCTGCACCACCTAGTCACCGTAGCAACCACTCATGTGCCGACGCGCCCACCTATACGCACTGGGACCTACATAAAGGGAAACCGAACCCAGTCAAGACACAGACTCGCGCGCGCACAGGGAGCAGGACGTCAACCGCTCCACAAGTCCACGGACAACCATGGTGTACGTGTAGCAGTCGAACTGTGGAGAAAAACACGTTCCCACCGTCCGGACTTCCACCAAGGGACTCTCACATACGACAAGTTCCCTTTTTGACTTGCTCCCATTCTCGCACTGTATTTATTTTTACATGTGTCGCAGAAATACTAAAAACTTCTATTAGTGCACACATACACCTTCTGATTTGTAGTATGGTTATCATAACCTATGCACTAATGCACTCAGCTGAAGCACATGGAGAACGCAGAAATGCATAAACAGTTTTATTTTTTAACCTAAAATGTGAAAAGTGTACTATTTTCTTTTACATAACTATACTGTTGGTTGCCATTTAACGCCGTCGGCATATTAACATCATCAAGTACCCGAACGTGAAACATAAACAGATGTGAATAATTTTTGTGCGCACATTCAATAATTAGAGAGTGTTTTTGTGATGCAAGCAGTCAGCCAGAAAAAAAATGCACCGCACCTTTGTTGCTCAACTCATGCTTTTGATTTCCGTTTTTCCTTTTTCTCCAATTTCTCACGTTGTTTTTGCTCCTTTTTCATGCGCTTTTCTAATTCTTTGCGCTCTTTTTCCTGCCTTTCCCTCAACTTTTTCTCTTGTTTTTCCCTCTCCTTCAATTCTTTGCTAGACAAAGTTGATACTGGACGGCTGCTTATCTCGGGAGGTCGCAGTTCCTGTAGGCTGGCTGTAACGCAAGTAGAAGTTGAAAGATTCAGTTATGGAAGAGAGCATTTTATGCAGAAAAGAGGGGTGCCGTGGGTAGTTCCAGACATACAAGTCCAACTTCAAGGAAATCGATTTTATTTGGCTTCTTACTATGGGTCTGATGTATACCTACTTTGTAAAAGTTGGAGACACCTTCAGTCTCACATTTCTCACTTTGATTAGTAAATACAGTTTCTGTTTTGCTGCTTGAAATCAGAGAAAAGCCTGATTACCATTTATGGATGTAAAAGTCTGCTACTGAAACCCCTAGAGTGTTCTGCTCTAATGTCGTTGTGATAGGCTGTGGTACAGATGGTTGCTTTGCACGTTAAGCTGTCAGAGACAAGTAAAGTTGTCCTTCCCAACAGACCTTCCTGAGGAACGACCTAGTTGGTCATACGTTGGAGACAATCCTTCGTGTAGATGCGGATCCCCTTCTTGACCCAACTAGCAAACAGTAATAATATCAACACAACAACACAATAACACAACTTGGCTGCTGAACTAACACAGTAACTCTGCTTTACACCGCATGCAAACAATACAAACACCTTTATCTTCCGACAGCAACCTCTACATAGCTCCTTTGGGAAGTCATCAAACTGGACGGGAAAGGCAAGAGAAATTCAAACTCGCGCCATACCACTTGTGTTGTTTTATTGAATGCCTTTCTTCTCCATCAAAAATCGAAGACTCCCAACAACAGCATTATTAGAGTGCTAGTTGCTCAACTTGGTTTCAGCCGACCCGAAAGATTGGCTGTGAGATTGCACAACCGTGCCGCTACGATTCAATCCGCCCCCTAACACCGACTGTTGACGAAACGCATACCCGGATCAAAGAACGGATCAAAAAACACCGACATACACAGTTCAAATGGAAGCCGAACTGCTAAAGATTAAAACAAGTCCATCTGATTGCATCCTACACTCAATCGGAGTGTTCTGAATTGATAAACGAGCATGCCTGCTCATGCTTTTTCAAGATTAAATGTCCTAATGGCTCAATGTTCGAATGGGATTTAATGGTGGTGCTGATATCAGGAATGCTATTGGAGTTGCCCTGGGAAAACCCGCTTCTCTGTCCCAGGTTTCACTTTATTGTGCCCTGTGACCACAGTCGCTAAATTGTTGTTAGGAAACAGAGCAAAGTGCGTCGCGAAAAACTGATTTTCCTGCTAGAGGAAAACTAAGGTAGACAAAATAAGTTATTCTTCCTATGCAACTCATCTATGGACGCAATTCTCACTAAATATATTGGTGAATTCTGACCCAAAACTTTAGTTCTGAGTCTATTTTAGAAAGAACACTGGTTACGAAGAACTAGTCCGTCGGGAAGCACCCTATACACGTGATACAGACCACTCGCTTGTTTACTTTTAAACAACAGTTTTACAAGTCAGGGTGAATCAACCTTCAGCAAGTCGCTGAAGGCAGCTATTTACAAACGGACAACGACTAGCATGGGCTTACATATAATAAATAATTTCTGAATCTAATATTGGTGCCCGTAGATGAAGTGAAGACCAAGTCGTTCTGTATCCTCCCTTTCACCATAATGAGCCACTCTTCACATGACCCAAGGCGACAACGCTACTCCGAACGTGATTTGGATGCCGAGGTTTGTTGGCCATCGTTCGCAAGCAACAGATTACCGAACCGATACAGACTCGCCGGTGGAGAACCTGAACTCGGCGTAAACGGTCATAATAGAGTTTTTGATCTCCAGGTTGTACATAATCTTTATAATGTGTATTTTCAGCTACCTGAAAACACGCACAGGGTTGCAGATCAAACGTTGAACTCGTTCACTTGCTTATTCACTAGCTGTTATGGCTGATTTTACGTAATCAAATATAGCAAATTATACTCTTTATTACTTCTGTTGAGGATTCCTGAAAGGACGTCTATCCAGGAGGACGAACATGGTCTTTGAACTGCTGATTTCCAGTCCCGCACATCCAGTGTAATGAACCAGATCGTCCAGCACGTATTGAAATACTTCCAAACCATGCCCCAGTAGAACAACATCATCGTTCGAATCTAAGTTCATTTCCCAGGCTTGGATATCACAATAGTCCATCAACACCCTCTTAAATGGCCAGTAAATTGAGTAAACGGTATTTTCGTAAGCTGGAATCAGCACTAAACTAGCTGCACTGCGGTTCTCACGCTTCGTGATTACGTCATCAACTGTGAGGATTTTTCACAGCGGTTAACGATTTACTGATTTGGACTGGGTGTTAGGAATGACAAAGCGTGTAATGTTGAGCTGCTGAAAGCTGCATCGGTATTCCAACGTCATATATCTGAAAAATGTAATTAAAATGAGCTCTTCTTAGACAGAAACCACCTTGCGAGGGTCTTCGTTACGTGTACTTGGGTGTATGGAACAAATATTTTTCGTCAACAGGAACCTCCGAACATTATCAGTATGCTTCTTCACCGCAACAAGATCCGAGTTTAGCCGGCAGAATACGTGACTCCACAAATCCAGCGACAGAGCGGTGACCGCTGGAATCCTTGGACGTCCACATCTGATCTAGTTCAACCCGGTCTGGCGAGCCAGGTATTGATAACCAGGTTCCGTCACTCTCTGACTGGTTTAATCCAGACCAGGTTGATCTGCACTAGTATTTAAAAACAACATTCTGATCAGAGTAGGTTAACAGAAGATGCCAAAACTTCCATTCCATTTTCAGCACTTAAGTTTGCGGAGCCAAATAAATTTTTTGAATAACTGCCGACTTAAAAGTAATTAATATTTTCGTATGTATTCAACAATAATCAATCAAGTGACGGTTAAAGTATTTGGATTCATTCAACATGCAAGGTGTTTGACCAGTCTACGTTTACCTGTAAGTTTTTCGATGTACGACCCTGGAAGCCTCAATCCAACGTTGCTGAAACTTTCGTAAAAATTGTTTAAATAGGACAGCCAGTCTTTGTGAAGTACATAAGGTGCGATGTTGGGTCATTTCTGGCTATCAGAGGCTTCTCTCCAAAGAATGATCATTGGTTGCTGGGGGATATCAGTTACTCATCACTGATAAAATTTCGGTTGCAATCAGAAGATAACCCGGTATACCATGCCTCATCTAACAACACATGTCCGTCATCGTTTCGCCCATATATGTTGCGTCACCAAGATAAGTGAGACTGATAACCGACCTTTTCACAAGGTGAAGAGCAATGAGCAACGGCTTTTGGTGCGCTCTGTTGCGGTACTATATTACCTACACTTCAAGTTTTGATTGTGGGCTGTATTGAAGGCAGTTGTGATAGAAGCTCTGCTACATCGCGTTTGGGAGACGATCTTCTGTTTGCATAAACAAAGTTGTACAAATCCTTTCGCTGAAGTTCTTCATGACCGCGAAAATCAATCAGGAATCCGAAGTAGGTACTGACATCGAAACCCAGCTGGAGCGATTCAAACAGATTGAAATGATACTCGATACAACGAGACCGCTTCAAAGATGCCGTTGATAAGATCGGCCGAAAAGCGTTTATTCTAGGTCGCTAGGAGTGTTCCAATCTGACTCTTACGTGGATTAAGGTTTATGGACTTATAGTTTTAAAGCTTGATGGATTGTTTGCAGTTGAAAGGAAACAACGCAGTAGGTGAAGTAGAGAGAAGACTACTGCAAAATTCAACAAAAAGCTGGGAACTATTGTTTAAGGTTACATAACGATAGTTTAACAGGACTGTCGAAAAACGGACTCTGCACATGTTTGGTCGACAGTGTTCGAAATTTATCCACGCAAAATACAAAATTCAAATAGCCTCGAGTGCTTATCCACTAAGGATTTGCAACCAGCCATCATGCGGGTGTCGCGACTTCATCGCCGTGTGATTTCACTGACTCAGCGTCTACTGTTTCGATGGAATGTGCGCATTAGCAGACGTCCAGGCGCACGTAATAATGAGAACCAGCTCTCAATGTACACACCCGTCCGGATACAAAGATGCTGGTGTTCGATTTGAATGACAATAGCCTTATTCAGGTATCTACTGCGAACACAATGCCTCCGTGTGTGTGCGCGCGTGCTCAGACTAGATGTGCCTGTGTCGCTGAATCAATAAGTATGATTCGATGAGTGACCAATTTTCAGGTATCTACTGCGAACACTGCCTCCGTGTGTGTGTGCGCGCGTGCTCAGACTAGATGTGCCTGTGTCGCTGAATCAATAAGTATGATTCGATGAGTGACCAATTTAGTTTAAACTCTGTTTCACCAACGTTGTGCTCTCGTGCAGCTGGTGTAATTGGCAGATAGTCTGGTTGGTAAGCAGCACAAATGTTTTGTCAGAGATTCACGTGATACCATACATTATTCATATTGACGACAATGAATACAGTAAGAATATGTTACGCTTTATGTGACCATACAAGCAAAATCCCAAACGTTCCTCACAATTATCTGGGACAGCTCACAATTATCTGGCACAATTGTATCCGAACTAAGTAGCTGCAGTGAATGTCATTGTTGAATTGCTTTTGTACGACCCAAGTCCGGGCATACCTGAGGCCACAAGAAAGTAAGTAAAACGTGTTTATCCATTTATGTCTAGCAACGCTTTCCATTAAAGGTGTCTCAGCCCACTTTTTCTCGCAAATGATGGAAGTGCCGACCTAAGTACGCGTTAATCCCACTACTGATCACTCGCTTGTGGCCGAACGATTTAGATTTTAACTGCTAACCAGGATGCCGCGATTTCGAATTTTCTCAACAGCTCCTATCACACACACTGCTGATAATTCCCTAAAAGAATAATACTGCATCAGTTTGCCCCTCGGCATTTATGAATGGGCTGAAGTCGTTTACCAGTCAAAATTCTCAGACCGTCAGAGAACCAGTTCACTTCGCAACAAAGTGTTAGGTTTACAGATTTCCCATTCATGTTCGATCCCCAAAAATGAAATTTTCAGCCTGTCACTCAGGCCAGCTGTTAATTGAGCTCGTGATCAATTTGGATTGGGTTCACACAAAACTTCTAAAACCTCATGTTTTTGGCCAAACGAGCACGAGATGCAAGTGAGGCCCGCTAATTTCTGCAAAAATCATACATTATTTTGTCTTAGCGAGCGGAAACAAGAATGAGCTAGACGACTAATGATCCCACAAGAGCCAGAACCCACTGAAAAAGCATCCTTGAAAGACGATGAGACAATCACGTGACAACTGTCACTGTCAGCAAGAAGATTCATGGCCGCTTGATCAGCAACCTCTATATTAAACAGAACCACCAGAAAGGTGGTGTATGCAGACATGAAGGTGTAAAACAGTATATCTGGGAACTTGGAGAAGGATGCGAAAAACAGCATCAGTTAGTGTTTTAAACTCTACAGCAACCAGACAGAATAGTACCTGAATTCGACACTCATCTGCATACCGATTTGTTTCAGACGGGTGACTCAGTTGGAACATTATAAATGACTGGTCTAGCTGGGTTCTAGGTGAGTCTCCCATCAGAACCAAACCGGTATACAGTCTGCTTTCGATATAAGTCTGATTTCCTGTAACTCCTATTCAGCCGGAACAAAAGGTTGACAGAAGCTCGGGATGGGACCCCAAGAAGGGCGAAACTGTTTGTGGGCTGTCGAATAATTTTCAACAACCGAAGAGTGGTGTACTACATCTGAGGAATATTGTTTAGTTTATCACAAAACTCTGAATAGTTCAGTTGGGCCAATAAACTGACCACATGCACTGAAATCGGATCAAAACACAACTGGGCCCAAAGTAGACCAAAGGCAAGTAGACAACCACGAGTTCCGCTGGCTAACTGGGACGGGTGAATGGAATCAGCTTAGTTAAACCGTATGAGGGTAAACCAAAGGGTGATGCGGTTTCATTCAAAATATGCCGAAGAAGTTTCCTTGAAGGTTAGAAAAACACCTGCAAACCAAAGGTCGGTTTTTCCTCTGAGCGCAATTACTAACGCATAACGACCTAAAGATATATCCTTAATAACGTAGGTGGATTAAGAACTTCCTGGCGGAACTTCCGCACAATTTATAAAGTAACATGTTGGGACACTTCTATCGCAGCGATGAATGAGGAACGTACCCAAGGCTGATAGTCGCAATTAGATTGAACTGAACTCAATAGCGTTCCACATTTGTTCAGCATTCCGCGTGACGCTCTGGGAGTTTCTTGTACCAGTATGTTAATACGGACACGAATTTCATTATTGTTTATGTACTATTCATACAGCTAATGTGACAAACCCAAGTTCTTCACATTTTCGGCGGACAACTTGCCCAAATGACACGTCTGTCGTACATTAGACGGAATTGTAAAAATACAGAGATTTAGTAACTCTACTGGTGATCTATACAGCACACTCGCGCTGGAGTGGTGACGCTGCAACTGCCAAATAGGTGGGGCACGTAGAACACAGCCACAGTGAACCTCTCTTACTGCATCGCATGAGAAGAAACTCAAAAAATCGATAAAAGGACGGTTGGGACTTTGTCCTGAGACAAAAAATAGCGGCATGTTCTGAAAGTATTTANGAAACTCAAAAAATCGATAAAAGGACGGTTGAGACTTTGTCCTGAGACAAAAAATAGCGGCATGTTCTGTGAAAAAAGTATTTAGGGGGGGGGGTATGACGACAACAAAAGCATTGCTCCTTGTCGTCAAAATTTAATGACGACGCTCTTGGCAGACACTAGCCAACCACAACCAGTGCATAAATGTTCGTACTGATAAGATAAAGACCCTCCAAGCTAAGAAGTTGGAAACTTACAGTGCGTAAGTCGCCGAGAGGCATAAGGAACATTTTCATGGAATCGATCACGAATATTGCCTTTGGGGGAATAGTGAGCCACGATGTAGGAGGCTGTCCCGTCGCTGGATGTGGCTCGACCAAATCCAACTAGTTTTGAATCCTTCCAAACAAGCTGGGAAAAGTAACCTGAAACGCATACGATATGCATTTTGAGCAACTACGGAAAAAGCTGAATTCCAAGTCAAATTGACGCCTTTTTCTTTGTCCTACTTTCAATCTATTTTGGTCAGTCTGTGGGAGCACTTGCGCATCTGCAGAGCGCAACCTCAACCGTACCAGCGTCGAAACTGCATAACCCCACACGTAATGTTAACGTCACCAACACTAAAAAGGGATGTTCTAAAAGCGTCGTCTTGACAAAAATTGGTAAAAGTACAATTTATCAGCACAATAAACTGCTCCTCCAATTTTCCATGGACTGATAAGTTAAGTGGTCGCACTGAGAGAGAAGAAAGTCGAATGAATACGGAACGTGTCTAGCTAGTTATGGGGATGGAGCGAAATGGAGAACGGTTTGGTAGTTGGCTTGTTCGTTGAGCTGGGTAATTGGGTCGCAAACGCTTCATCGCCAATCAAGGTCATCATCATCATCATCATCATCATCATCATCATCATCATCGACAGCATGACATCAGTGTTCAACACCGATGCTTCACTGCCGTACAACCATGACTTATTTGAAAGCCTTATTGTGAAGAAAAGAATAAAGTTTGACCGAGAAGGGACTTAGTGCTAGCTTAACACAATCATTCCAAGGTGCCTATACCTCCAGACATTCACTCAGGCAATTTGGATAGAAACTGACAACAGAAACGCCACTGACATTGGTTGGTAGCCATATCTTGTAGTGTCTCCAACCAGGCACAGTGGGGATCACACGGTCCCCATCCTGGAAGGCGAGTAGCACCGACAGCACCCAAGCGTTTCCTGATCTCCTTCATAATCCTCTGCCAAGTCAAAGGTTGGCCACCTCTCTGTTTACGCCACTCTGAATTGGGCATGAAAAACTGCACTTTCTTCGGCAAATGATGGTTCGGCATACGTAACACATGTCCTAACCAACGCAGCTTCTGGTGCTGGACATATTCTCCAAAGGAAGCACCCGTTACACAACCGAAAACGCGCTTTCTAACTGCCTCATT